CGAGGAGGACCCCCGGAAATCACCAAGAGGAGGCTGAGGAGGACCCCCGGGAAGTCACCCAAGAGGAGGCTGAGGAGGACCCCCGGGAAGTCACCCAAGAGGAGGCTGAGGAGGACCCCCGGGAAATCACCCAAGAGGAGGCCGAGGAGGATCCCCGGGAAGTCACCCAAGAGGAGGCCGAGGAGGACCCCGGGAAGTCACACAAGAGGAGGATCCCCGAGAAGTCATCCAAGAGGAGGCTGAGGAGGACCCCCGGGAAGTCACCCAAGAGGAGGATCCCCGAGAAGTCACCCAAGAGGAGACCGAGGAGGACCCCCGGGAAGTCACCCAAGAGGAGGCCGAGGAGGACCCCGGAAGTCCACCCAAGAGGATCCCCGGGAAGTCACCCAAGAGAGAGGAGCCCGGAAGTCACCCAAGAGGAGGCTGAGGAGGACCCCCGGGAAGTCACCCAAAAGGAGGCTGAGGAGGATCCCCGGGAAGTCACCCAAGAGGAGACCGAGGAGGATCCCCGGGAAGTCACCCAAGAGGAGGCCGAGGAGGAACCCGGGAAGTCACCCAAAAGGAGGCCGAGGAGGACCCCAAGGAATTCACCCAAAAGGAGACCGAGGAGGACCCCGGAAGTAACCCAAGAGGAGGATCCCCGAGAAGTCACCCTGAGGAGGAAAGTCACCCAAGAGGAGGCCGAGTAGGATCCCCGGGAAGTCACCCAAGAGGAGGCCGAGGAGGACCCCCGGGAAGTCACCCAAGAGGAGGATCCCATAGAAGTCACCCAAGAGGAGGCTGGTGAAAGATCCCCGGGAAGTCACCCAAGAGGAGGATCCCCGAAAAGTCACCCAAGAGGAGGCTGAGGAGGACCCCCGGGAAATCACCAAGGAAGAGGATCCCCGAGAAGTCACCCAAGAGGAAACTGAGGAGGACCCACGGGAAGTCACCCAAGAGGAGGATCCCCGAGAAGTCACCCAAGAGGAGGCCGAGGAGGACCCCCGGGAAGTCACTCAAGAGGAGGATCCCCGAGAAGTCACCCAAGAGGAGGCCGAGGAGGACCCCCGATAAGTCACCCAAGAGGAGGCTGAGAAGGACCCCCGGGAAGTCACCCAAGAGGAGGCTTAGGAGGACCCCCGGGAAGTCACCCAAAAGGAGGCTGAGGAGGATCCACGGGAAGTCACCCAAGAGGAGACCGAGGAGGACCCCCGGGAAGTCACCCAAGAGGAGGCTGAGGAGGACCCCCGGGAAGTCACCCAAGAGGAGGCTGAGGAGGACCCCCAGGAAGTCACCCAAGAGGAGACCGAGGAGGACCCCCTGGAAGTCACCCAAGAGGAGGCTGAGGAGGACCCCAGGAAATCACCCAAGAGGAGACCGAGGAGGACCCGGAAGGAGTGAGGTCACCCAAGAGGAGGCTGAGGAGGACCCCCGGGAAGTCACCCAAGAGGAGGCTGAGGAGGACCCCGGGAAGTCACCCAAGAGGAGAGGAGGACCCCGGAAGTCACCCAAGAGGAGGCTGAGGAGGACCCCGGAAGTCACCAGAGGAGGCCGAGAGGACCCCCGGGAAGTCACCAAGAGGAGGCTGAGGAGGGGAAGTCACGAGGAGGAGGAGGACCCGGGAAGTCACCCAAGAGAGGCTAGAGGACCCCCAAGAGGAGACCGAGGAGGTCCCCCGGGAAGTCACCCAAGAGGAGGCTGAGGAGGACCCCCAGGAAGTCACCCAAGAGGAGGCTGAGGAGGATCCCCGGGAAGTCACCCAAGAGGAGGCTGAAGAGGATCCCCGAAGTCACCAAAAGGAGGCTGAGAGGACCCCAGGAAGTCACCCAAGAGGAGGCTGAGGAGGACCCCCTGGAAGTCACCCAAGAGGAAGCCCCCGGGAAGTCACCCAAGAGGAGGCTGAGGAGGATCCCCGGGAAGTCACCCAAGAGGAGGATCCCCGAAAAGTCAACCAAGAGGAGGCTAAGGAGTACCCCCAGGAAGTCACCCAAGAGGAAGCCGAGGAGGACCCCCTGAAAGTCACCCAAGAGGAGGCCGAGGAGGACCCTCGGGAAGTCACCCAAGAGGAGGATCCCCGAGAAGTCACCCAAGAGGAGGCTGAGGAGGATCCCCGGGAAGTCACCCAAGAGGAGGCTGAGGAGGATCCCCGGGAAGTCACCCAGGAGGATCCCGAGAAGTCACCAAGCGGAGACGAGGAGACCCACGGGAAGTCACCCAAGAGGAGGATCCCCGAGAAGTCACCCAAGAGGAGGCCGAGGAGGACCCCCGGGAAGTCACTCAAGAGGAGGATCCCCGAGAAGTCACCCAAGAGGAGACCGAGGAGGACCCCCGATAAGTCATCCAAGAGGAGGCTGAGGAGGACCCCAGGAAACTCAAGAGGAGGCTGAGGACGATCCCCGGGAAGTCACCCAAGAGGAGGCCCCCGGGAAGTCACCCAAGAGGAGGCCCCCGGGAAGTCACCCAAGAGGAGGCCCCCGGGAAGTCACCCAAGAGGACGCTGAGGAGGATCCCCGGGAAGACACCCAAGAGGAGGTCGAGGAGGGTCCCCGGGAAGTCACCCAAGAGGAGGTCGAGGAGGACCCCAGGGAACACTCAAGAGGAGGCTGAGGAGGATCCCCGGGAAGTCACCCAAGAGGAGGGTGAGGACCCCCAGGAAATCACCCAAGAGGAGGCCGAGAAGGAACCCCGGGAAGTCACCCAAGAGGAGGTCGAGGAAGATCCCCGGGAAGTCACCCAAGAGGAGGCTGAGGAGGACCCCCAGGAAGTCACCCAAGAGAGGCTCCCCACCCAAGGGAGGAGGAGGCCCCCAGGAAGTCACCCAAGAGGAGGCCCCGCACCCAAGAGGAGCCCCCGGGAAGTCACCCAAGAGGAGGCCCCCGGGAAGTCACCCAAGAGGAGGCCCCCGGGAAGTCACCCAAGAGGCCCCCACCAAGAGGAGGCCCCCGAGAGGTCACCCAAGAGGAGGCTTAGGAGGACCCCCGGGAAGTCACCCAAGAGTAGGCCGAGGAGGATTCCCGGGAAGTCACCTAAGAGGAGGCTGAGGAGGATCCCCGAGAAATCACCCAAGAGGAGGCCAAGGAGGACCCCCGGGAAGTCACTCAAGAGGAGTCTCCCCGGGAAGTCACCCAAGAGGAGGCTGAGGAGGATCTCCGGGAAGTCACCCAAGAGGAGGCTGAGGAGGATCCCCGGGAAGTCACCCAAGAGGAGGCTAAGTCAGGAGAGGAGGACCCCGGAAGTCACCAAGAGAGGCCCCCGGGAAGTCACCCAAGAGGAGGCAGGAGGGGAAGTCACCAAGAGGAGCCGAGGAGGATCCCCGGAAGTCACCCAAGAGGAGGACCCGGAAGTCACCCAAAAGGAGGCCGAGGAGGATCCCCGGGAAGTCACCCAAGAGGAGGCTGAGGAGAACTCCCGGGTAGTCACCCAAGAGGAGGCTGAGGAGGACCCTCGGGAAGTCACCTAAGAGGAGGCCGAGGAGGATTCCCGGGAAGTCACCCAAGAGGAGGCCGAGGAGGATCCCCGGGAAGTCACCCAAGAGGAGGCTGAGGAGGATCCCCGGAAAGTCACCCAAGAGGAGGCCGAGGAGGATCCCCGGGAAGTCACCGAAAAGGAGGCCGAGGAGGATCCCCGAGAAGTCACCCAAGAGGAGGTCGAGGATCCCCGGGAAGTCACCCAAGAGGAGGCTGAGGAGGATCCCCGGGAACACTCAAGAGGAGGCTGAGGAGGATCCCCGGGAAGTCAACTAAGAGGAGGCTGAGGGAACCCCCGGGAAGTCACCCAAGAGGAGGCTGAGGAGGACCCCCGGGAAGTCACTCAAGAGGAGGCTGAGGAGAACCCCCGGGAAATCACACAAGAGGAGGCCGAGGAGGATCCCCGGGAAGTCACCCAAGAGGAGGCTGAGGGAACCCCCGGGAAGTTACCAAAGAGGAGGTCGAGGAGGACCCCCGGGAACACTCAAGAGGAGGCCGAGAAGGACCCCTGGTAAATCACCCAAGATGAAGCCGAGAAGCATCCCCGTTTCAGTCTCAGTAACATGATATGCTTGCCAACCAGAGAAACCTCTACTGCCGAGGGTTGAAGTTGGCTGGAGAAGACTGTGGCTACTCCTTGGAGGTGGGGAACATCTCTTCGGCCCGGACAGCAATAGGTGTACCCACCCATGATAATTGTGCTGTTGCGCGGACAGCCACCTCAGCTACCTCGATAGCAGGGGTAATCGTTCATCCTTACCCAAAGGCGGATGCGTGCAAGTAGGTTTCCTTAAATTCCAGCCTTCAGCCAAGCTTCACCATTGAGATAATCTGCAATCTACAATCAGCTTGGAAATGTACTCCAGGCGTTTTAATGTCTGCGTGTGCATGCCAGCAAGGATTAAGACTGCTAAAATAAAAGGAAGCCACAAATCCTTAAAGTTTTGCATGCCACATTTTCGGTCCAAGTATGAAAATTGCTCCGCACGAGTATGTTTGGAGACTGCAGAGCGCAGGCAGAACATTTGGATGACTGCCATTTGCCATGCTTGAGGTATTTTGCAGCGCAAGCAGCTGAGGACTTTAGCTTGTTGAGGTAAAAGTATGGGAAAACTGGATTTAATACGAGTAAGTGTATATTTCAACGTAGGCATTGTTAAAATGATCATTTGATTATTCACTGTTACTGTCAAATGTCAACCAGAATATACCACACGCAGATTTATTATGAAGGCAATGTTATTTTGGTTTTATTGAATACAAAAAGTGATTTCGCAACAATTACAGCAAATGCCTATTTATACAGGACCGAATATTTAAAACTGAATTACAGAATACACCTAATGGTAGATCAATTTTTCTATTTCCAGTGCAATAATGTTAGTCTTGTTTTTTTGTTTTGTTCTTTTTTACTTTTAAAAAGTATGATTAGAATACAAATAGTAGATAGTATGCCAGACCTAAAGTTAAATGAAAGGAAAGTTCTAGTAAAATTCAACGAATTCAAATTGGTATTTTGACTGCGCACTTTTATCGCGGATGTTTTCAGCGCCGCCATCAGCTGCATCGTCTCGGTGATTGTAGTTCAAGCGCCCACTCTTGCTATTGTCGTCCGCTAGCTGTGGCTATGGGTCCTTAAACTTGAGGTATTTTTTCAAATAATTCCTTATAGTACATGTAGAGTCAGTCAATAGTAATGTACTGTACACTTTTGATAAATTTTGATTTGACTGGTGACAATTTTAATGCATGTCACGCGCATATTATTTAGTGTCCGCTGTTCTCTCTTGAAGTCGAGTTGAAATTGTCCTTTTATTTCAATAGCAATTGAATGAGCAATGGAAATATATACGGATATAACCCAAGATATATGCAGTCCACGCAAACCTTTCGTTATTTTATGGTATAACCATGTAAGTTAGTGAAGTTTAGAAGAGGAGTTTTGATATGGGCAATTAAAAATACTAATTTATTATAGAGCGTGCATGATTTATTTCAGAAAGAATTAAGAAACTTAAGGTGTGGGTCATAGATTGTTCTCGTCCTTTTTTATTGCTAATGTGTATTTCTTTAGTTGAAATTATCCATATGTGTGGAAAAAATAATGCAGTTGTACATATGATAAAGACATGTTGCATTAGTAATTATAAGAAAAACTTGCATGCCCTTTTAGATTTATTGCCACATATGAGATAACACTTTTCTGTAATCTTTTTAAATGTGGGTATGTGTAAAGAATTTTGAATTTGTAATATCATAATCATAACTTCATTATTTGATAATTGTTACTGATAGCAACTCACCCTCCCAGAGAGTAAGCAGAAAAAATGATGTTTTTCTGCAGGAAATCCAATGATTTCATCTATTCTTTTTTTTATTTTTTCTGCTAATAAATCGTTGAGGAGATCGAGTACCAATTCTCCATGGATGATCTTGATTTGATAGTCCCGATAACAGGGGAGGTTATGAAGTATATCAGGGAAAGTACAGGGTACAACAGGCTTGAATAAGAAGAATAGAAAACAAAAAAGCTTAAAACCATCACAAAAAAATCTTTTTAATCCAGCCAATAAAACTCTCCGGACGTGTCCGTCATATTTGAAATGCTACAGACTGCTCTGCCAAAATTTAAAAAACAATGGGAATCCAACATGTTCCGGTAAAATCTACAGTTATTCACACCATCCAAACCCCCCCATAAAACGTACTGAGCAATAAACTAACCTAATCTAACCATTTAAGTTGCCATGACTAGGCGTGCACTTCACTCACTGCCTGAGGGGAAGGTTGATGGGGGGCAAGATAAAACTGTGTTCAAACTATAATAGGATAAGCCAAATACCTTTATATCTGAAAACATCAAACTTTCTTTCACTTCTTTCTACCGTCTGGATTGCTTTGATTATAATCCTTTTTTTGGCATTTGGGGCACTTGATGGGCTCAGGTATTGAACTAGGATGGTTACTAAAGTCTATTACTTCTTTTTTGCCACTGTCTTAAGAACAACCCTGAATCAATGCAACACTGCAAATGCAACATTTCTCATGGGCAATCTGTCCCGAAATAGCTGGCTTCTAACTGTCAAATCTCACAATTGGCAACTGAAAGACTGAAATGTACAATGTGCAGATCATTATGAATAACTATAGATAAACCATAAAACACATAAATGAAGTATAATAACATTAATAAAAGACTAAAATCATGAATGTGTAATAACAGACACTGATAATTAGCAAAATATCATTTCGACAAGTGCGTAGTAATGCATGAACGACTTGAGATATCACAGTAATGAGTTGTGTGGTCAGTGTTGTGTTATTCCTGGCAAGGTCAAGGAGATTCACAGCTTAGAACCTGAGTAGTGATATGTAGGGTATATTATCATCATTTAGCACTGAATGTGAGGCTGCTGCAGCTTAAACTATGTTGTATCCTATTCTATTTCTTCTGCTCTATAAGATGGGGGCATCCATTTTCCTCTATCTCCACGTGTTGCTGCAACTTATATCCATTATTTAATTCGATTATCATCATGACATTGTAGATGTATATTTTAGTTAACTATCAACTTTAAAAAGTGGTACATTATGAGTCATAGATGAAATAGCTGAGGACAGTCTTAAGGCCATTTTGTTTCAAAATTATGTGAGGCTGAACCCAATTTTTATTCATATATACAGACATCCATGAACACAGAAATAAATGCATATTTGTATATCTATCTGATAGATATACATTTATCTATCTATCTATTCGGTAGATCTGGATGTCTAGAGTGATGGATATGTATTTATTTTATGTATATACATATCCCTATAATAAATAATCATTGGATCAGGCCTTGCATAGTTTTAATAAACTGGCTGTTAGACCAAGTGATTGCCAAATTGTACAGCAATCTTGGAGTCAGAAATGATTTTTTTGATCCTTAAATTTGTGTGTGTATATGTATATATAAAATTGTGCAGTATATTGTGAAATGTACAATATATTCTGAATATCATCCCTAGTCATCCTTGTAATGTGCAATTAATGACAATAACAATTTAGTTTCAGAAAGTAATAGGAAATTGTAAAGGAATATAATTTTGTTCTTTCTTGCAATATCTTACTTGTGGGTAGCAACTTAGATGCCATGACTAAGACTGATGGTTAACAGGTCAGAGGCATATGGAGAGCACATGTGCAGCTTATGGGTAACCTAGTGCCGATGGGAAAAATGTTTGGCAAGTGGACGTAATAATGGGATTGTTTGCACGCATTGGCAGTTTCCCCTGTTTGCGCTCAGCTCAATTGGTAATTTGCGAGTGACATCTGGCACCTAAAAGCTTTTATTTTGCTATAATTTTAAAGGTTTACCTTCATTGTAGATGCCATTGCCTAAAATCTTTACCATATAAATAAAGCCGCTCCTATTGGAGAAAAACAAGCTCTGTCCGATGTGCCAGTGGCGCGGGAATGAGCATGAAACGATGCCATCCGTGTTTCTGTCCACAACAGCCATAGCATGTACGTACAAGCCACCCGTCTGCTAGGGGTTAAGGTAGATAGATGATGAAGACAAGCATTTTCAGCCTTTCTTTTTCATTACCAAATGTTTATATAAGACAAAACATGTTTTTTATGTTTGGTAACCTCATGCTAAGACAAGATATATATGAGTCATACAACTATTTTCCCAAACTGTCTTGAAAATGCTAGTGGTTGACAACAAAAGTTGGCAATGGTGGAAATTATAATTGTGTCATTAAGATCTCTGATATGTCAGTTGAAATCATTATCTTAGGAAATAATTTATGTTGCTTACATCACCTCCATTGTACAGGGGAACTGACAGTACTGCCCAGCCTCCTACACCTTTTACAATATTTTGATGGTCTGTTTAGCACTCAGAACCTAATACTTTGCTCAAACAAAACAGAAAAAATTGAAAAACCTTCACCAAAACTTAGCCAAATTCTTGGCTGATGTGAGTGGAAGTGTG